ATTTCCCCTCTGCTTTGGTTCTTCCTGGCCATGGGACAGGCAGTGGTGGCAGGAATGCAGGAACTGTCACCTTGCACGTGCTCCCTGGTGCCCTGCTCCTGCATGCAGGGATGGGGAACACTGCTGGCTTGGGAGAGGGAGGTGGCACACAATGTTCAAACATGGTTTTACTCTAGTCTTGCAGCCCACAGCCTCTTCACTGAGTTTTGGGCAGCTCCTGTCCTCCCAGCAAGTCTTCAGGGCTGTCTCTGATGTTTTCTTCTCTGGTCCATCTTGAGCTCCCTTTGTTGGGCAAACACCCAGGCAAACCTGGCTGCAAGCAATCAGTGGGGCTGGAGGTATCACTGGCCTGTTTCTAGGACAAACATGCTTTTGGGAGAGAAGCGAGGAGCGTGCCAGAGCAGCCAGATGGGCTCACAACACAGACTTGCAGGCAGCAGGCTGGGGGCAACCAGCCTGTGGCCCATGTGGGACTCCCAGCCCAAGCAAGTCAAGTGAGAGCAATAAATTTGCTCTCATGGGCTGGAATGGGGCAACTGGTGCAGGGTCTGGGGCAGAACCAAGCCAAAGACACCCAGGTAGGTGGGGTGCAGATCTCACCAGTGTGAGCAGAAAGTGAGTGGTATCCAGAGGCTGATCCACTAAACTGCTAGAATGAGCATGTCTGAATTGAAGGAGGAAGGAGAGACGCATCTCCATTAAATTTTAATTCTCAGCCCTGACCTATGTTCAGCGAGATATTGCTGGGATTGCTCCCTGTCATGATGTAAAATATCAACACCACGCCTTGGAGATGGAGTGGGGACTCAGCCAGAACCCAGAACTGCCCTGGAGCAAAGTAGAGAAATAAATAAAAGAAATTAAATCCCAGATGGACCAAAAAAAAAAAAAAAAAAAAAAAAGAAGATAACATGCCTGGACTGGGTGGGAGAGGCTACTGCTGCCAGACACAACCCATCAGGGCAGGAGCCCAGTGCCATCCTATCCTTTTCCCACGCCTTCCTCACCCTCTCCAAGTGGAGGGAGCTTTCGGATCAAAACAAGGACATTTACTTACACACAAATATTCCCTTCTCTGGTTTCATGTCTGGGTTAAACGTCTAGCACAGGGGCAATAATGATGTGCATGAATAAGCTTTTAAACTCCCATCCATGTCTGGTCTGCACCCACAAATCCAAGCCCCTGAAAGAGCCCCTTTTCCATGGAGAAGGTAGAACAGGAGCTCCAGGGTGCCACTGAGGGTGGCACAGTAAATTGACACAAAGTTAATAAAGTTATTGACTCCAAAATAACTAAACCTCGCACAGGGCCCCTGCAGGGACATGCTCACTGCAGGGGCACACGCTGGTTCCTGAGAAATTAAACTACAGGCTGCTGTAGCTGCACCTCTGTCCTGCTGGGGATGGGACAAGGAGGGGTTTCGGCTGAAGCATCAGCTTCAGAAAGGGTTAATGGCACATGAGATATGTTTAGTGGGATTTGGTATTTTTTTAACTTCAACAAACAAAGCATATGAGAAAATCCAGTTCACAGCTGAGCCCTGGCTGCCTGCCCACTAGGGCAGGGAAAATGCTGATGGTTTGAAATACCCACGTGCTGGCCTTTCTCATGTAGCCTGTGGCCCAGGGTCCCTGGCTGGTCTCCCCCCACTGTACTTGGGACACTCAAGGTGGCAGCAGTGCAAACTGCAGTGTAAAGGCAGCACTGACACAGGAGCAAATCTACTTTCCTTGAGCATGGCTGGCTTCCTCAGACATGCAGAGGAGCCAGGATCCTGTGAGGCTCTGCTTGTTCAAAAATCATAATTAGCTCTCAAAGTAAATAGGTGTTAACAGAAACAAAGAGCTTTGCCACAGTCTGGGTAAACACTTCAGAATCAATTTAATTTCCCTTCTCCTGGCAGATGCAATCGTGCTGCTCTGCAATTATTTTAGGTCGGGGCAGGGAACAAAGCCACCGGGGCAGCTTTGCTGAGCAGCTGCTCCTTGGGACAGCCGGCAGGACCCTCTGCTTCACTGACATCCAGGCCCCCGAGGCTGAAACGAGCTTCCTTCCGCTGAACCAGATGTATAATGCAGCTGGAGATCAGCAAACCAGCAGTGAGCCATAGCATGACATTAAACCGCCCTAAAGTCCAGCCTCCTTAATCCTGAGAGTCCCCCTGTCTAGACAGAACATGAAGGACTAATGCGAAAACCAAGTGACAGAAAATTTACACTCTCCCATTGAGCTGCAAACGGAAAGAAGCATCAAAGGGTGTAAATCTGTTTGCCTTTTAATTGTTTTGCCTTTTGGAAGTGTGGGTAGCACCTAAGCAAGGTCCCCCCCTGGTGCAGAGGGTTTGCCTCACTGCAACTCCAGGTTGCCCATTTGCTTACTAAATCATGCTAGAAGGCTTTCTTACCCTGCCTTTTCCCTACCATCATGGGGAGCTGGTGCAACAGGCTTTTACCCAAACTGCCCCAAAAGCTAATGCCCTCCACCACCACTAGCAAACTAGTGACTGGTGACTGGGGCTCAGCTGATGTGGGATGTCCCTTTGAGAAGGCAGTAACTCAGCATATGATGGCAACTGCAGTCAATGTGTTTGCTGGTGATGGAATGTTCTCCTAGCTGGGATGTGAGAACAGCCCAGATGGGAACAGCCTGGCTGTGGGGCCAGACCCAGCAAGGCTTTTGGGACTGTGTAAAGCAGTCACACACCCAGAAACAAGTACAACCAGAAAAATGTGCACAGTGGCTTCCCTGGGAGCTCCTGATCTTGTTCCACCACACTGCCTCTCTGCTGGGAGAAGCAGATTTAGTTAATTAATTGCTACAATTAGCATGGCGCTATTCCTGCTCATGATGGTTACCTTTTCCTCCCCCTTTTTTGGTTCATCCAATTACCAACTCATTCATTCTCCAAGGCAGAGGCCACAACAAGGTACAGAGAAGCTTGAGGATGAAGGGAGGAAGGTCCAAGAACAAAATGCCAAGTGTCCCAAGCTCTGTTTCCACCCAGGAACTGTCTTAATCTCACACAAACTCTTGCTCCTCTCTCATCCATCCACCCCTGACTTCAAGAAGGTGATGAGGAGGGAGCACAGCACAGCAGAATTACAAACATTGCTACAACTGTTTCATTATTCCCTCCAGCTGACACCCCACGAAGGATGCACCCCATGATGAGCTTATATACACCAAAATGGACAAGACTTCCGATACCCATCGTGCTCCAATGACCCCTCAACTTCTTCACCCAGCCTCAGGCCATGGACTCTTCAAATGAACATTACCCACTTTGGGAAATTGATAATTTATTTGCCATTACTAAGCAGGGATGGTGAAGGAAAGGTGAGCATGGGGTCACTGCTTCAGCAAGGACCGAAGTGAAGCACCAGCCCTGAATAATTCATACTCCCTCTCTGCTGCAGCATCTGGACACATCTGCTGCATTCGCCATTGCAGGCTTTTTCTTGGCTTACTCAGAAAATCAAACTTTGGCAGCTGGGTACTGTTTCAAGTGGGTACTTTCCCTACAGCATTAACGAGCTGTGATTCTGTTACAAATAGGGATTTTTGTTCCTCTTTTGCTGATGTCACTCCATGATCCTGCAGGGAATAGTGCTTGGATCTCTGCAGCCTGATGATCCCTGTGTGCCCTTTGGGACAGATGTACTTGCAAGCGGGAGATTGTTTTTCCTTTTGCTGCCCAGATTTATATTTCACTGAAGTCCCGTATCGATCCTGCTGCTGCTGGGCTGAAAGCTCATTTTACTAAATGAGAAGAAAAAGAGTTCCCCCAGCTGAACGTACACAAAATGGAAAATCCTGCAATGAAACAGCTCTTAAAAAAGGGGCCTGAACAATTTTGCTGAACCTCGAGGGCCGCACTGCTGACATTGGAACGGTATGTAATTTATTTAGCCTGACCTTTCCCTGAAAGACCCAGCTGGCGACGTTATCAAGGATCCTTTCTGCCACTTGTGCACCCATTGCCAAGGTGACATCCTGCCTCATGCGTCAGTCAGCGAAGATCGCATCCACGCTGCTGCGGTGCTTTGTTTGCTGTCCTGCCTGACAAGCTCTTGGCAGGGTTTCAACTCCTGCGGATGGCAGCTGCTCCACGAGGGACCAAAACAGATTCAAGCTGGACGTTGTTATGGGGAGTTTCATGCAGACAGAGCACAGGCCTGCAGTCCCCTGGATGAGACTGGACCAAGGATGAGATGAAGCAATGGTACCCAGAGATGCTACCACACATAATGGGATGGGCAGGTGACTACAGAGCTGCACGCCACGCTCACCTCCCCATTCCATATCACTCAGGTTTTATGTGTGCCTTCATGGTGCTGGGAAAGCAGAAATAGCTCACCAGTGCTTAATGCACAGGCTTGCCCAAGTGCAGTCGAGTTTGGATTGTGGAGCACAACTCAGACAACATGTCCCCTCACTGCGCATAAACTACCTGGAGTTTTCCTTCCCCCTGCCCAGTGCTTTCCCTGAGGGTTCCAGTAAAGAGATGGGGATGCAGGTGCAGAGAGTATGTCTGTCCTCCACATGAGAGCCTGCCAGCAGAGAAAACTGCAGTGGAGAGGAAAATGGTTCCAGTAAAGCTTCTCCCCCTACTCCATCAAGAGATTGAAATATCTGAACAAAGGGGATTTTCACTGCTGGTTCCCACCACTCTCAAGGGGATTTTGGTGATGGATAGCGACAAAGGCTGCAGCTAAAAAAGTCCTCAAACACCACTAGCTTCTTGTAAGAGACTGAAAGGTCTACAGTTACGGAGGGTAAAAATGACTGGCTCTCACAATAGCCAAGATAGCTCTTTAGATGTCAAAGGCAGGAAAGCCTCATGAAAGTTTCCCACACATCCTTTCATTTCCCACTTCAGCCCCCCCACCCTTGGCAGGCTGCACTCCCCTCCCAGAGGTCTGATCTGAAAAAGGCCTGGGGCCCATTGGGAGGACAGGAGAAAAGATGCTCTTAGCAATGGACCTGTCTCTCATGGTACCTGTGTTCTCCTCGGACTGGTTGAAGCCACAGATCTGGCAGATGCTGCGGACCCATTTGTTCATGTCGTCCTCGGTCTCAGCCACCAGGTAGAAGGTCCTGTCGCTCGTCTTGATGTCGAAGATGTAGCTGTCTTGCAGCTCCTTCTTGTTGAAGGTGAGGCCTGCGTCCACTTGCTCGCAGAAATTGAGGTTGATGACACGCAAAGGTTTCTTGGAGTGGTCATTTTTGTAGTACTCCAGGACATCGGGGTCGCCACTCATCCGACCGCTGCGCAGGACGAACCAGCGTTTCTTCCATGCCTGAAAGCAAGACAACAACAAGCATGAACGCCACTGCTGCATCTGTGAGAGCAAAAATCCACTGCTAGGCACAGGGTGACACAGAGGGACACTACACTTCACCATGGGGTGCTCTGGGAAGCTGCTCAGGCATACCTGCAAAAGAGGCATAGACTCAGCTCAGTTCTTCAGTTCGATACTGAAATCCAGGAGAACTAAATACCAAAATGGCATCATAGCATAAGATGACCCCAAAAGGTGCCAGTCTTGAGGCTCAGAGGAACCTTGCTCCTACCCTACAGCCCAGACATGCTTCCAGGACCCAAGTGCCCTTCTCTCCGTGATCTGTGCAGCGGCATTACTGGGTGTTCCAAAATGCCTTCCAGCAGCTCAGAGGAACTGAGGCACTTCAGATGCAGCACCCTGGGTGTCCTAACCTTCAGAGAAATCCCTGGGAGCATCATAGGATGTGTCTGCAGATACTGACCATGCCAATTTCTGTTTAAATGCCAGAATAGAAAGACTAATAAAACCAAAGGACAACTGGTTTGTTTTTTTAAATATCACGAATAATGCCAGGGAGACTCATGGAGAATCCCAGCTTCATTTGTTTTTCAGCATCCTCTGCTCCCTGGCATGTAGGCAACTCCTTAGCAAAGGAAAAGGTTATCATTGATTCTTCCAAGCACTGCTGACAGCAGCTCCTGGCCAAACTACCTGCGGAATGGACTCAGGGGGTTGTGGAGCTTGAAGCAAACCAGCAAAACAAATGTCAGCCATCAGCCCTGGCCCTGAGAGCTGAGGCGCTGCTGCCCTCCCCACGCCAGACACATCTGGGAGCCCACAGGAGGGGGAATAGCCACAAGGATAATGTGTTAAAGGCTAAAACTGAAATTACAGGGAAGATTGTGCAGGTGTAACCACCCATCCCATGAGGTGAGCAGAGTGTTTCTTTGGGGTGTGCTCTGTGCGAGGGATGAACGGGGTTGAGGGACCACCTCGAGCTGCCCTCCTTTGCAGAGCTACTCTCCCTTGCAGAGGCCTCAGCCCCCATGGCATAGGGAAGGGAAGGATTTCCTCTAAGCACAGTCCTTAAAACAGCTTGTTCAGGGTGTCTTGGAAGTCAGCAAAGGTTTAAGAGGAGCATGTGGATAAGCATGATGTGAATTGTGACCAGTGCTCCCGCATTACCGGACACAGACTTCAGTTTGATTATAAGAGGTCTGGTTATGAGGAAGCACACAATATTTCTAAGAAGGAAGAACAAACACCTACAGTAACCCAGGAGACGCACCAAGGCAAGCAGTGTGCTGGGTCCCTCATGATAATGCCCAGGTGCTGAGCACAAGCTTTACATATTGGTGATGGGCACGTGCTAGATCTCAGCCAGCCAACTGCACCAGGATCCCACAGTTTAGAAGAATTTCATCGCTGAAATAATGGTAAGAAGCTCCTGTGGTGTTTTCCCTGAACAGTCTGATTCAGACCATACTTCTCAAAAGCTTAAAAATAGCTTTTGTTGATGTCTTTGAGATTTGTAATCAAATTAGTTTTGCACTAATTCTCAAAACGGCTCCTGGTGCCAGGAAAGCAACTTCAGTGCAATCTTCCAAAGGCAGTGAAGCAGCAAATTGCTTAGCAAGAGGACGTGCAAGGCTAGCAGATTTTGGCTTAATCTCACCCACTTCTCATCAAAATGGCTGCTTTTGAGTGACAAAATAGATACAGTGGAGCTGTGTCCATCAGGGAAGGAAAAACAATTTCATCAGGCAGCAGCAATAATTTACTAGCCCATCTCCTCAAAATGGATCACCCAAATCACTGGGAAACAAACCTATGAACATTTTTTTTCCTAGTTCTAGGTGGTAAATGCCCCATTAGCTTCTTCCTGTTAACACTGAGTCATTTCTTTGCAGCCACCTGGCAGGACTAAGGCACGGGCATGCATTAGTGAAGGGACTGCAAGAAGATGGAGTTGTGCAACCACAGGAACCAGCACCTGAATGCAGACATCCAGCACCAGTTCTTGCTGCTTAGCTTGTTGCTTTCCAACCATCTAGAGTCCAGTCTTGCAGCCTCCCTTCATGGCTGAGACATTGCATTACAAAACCCACAAAGTGCAGAAACCAGACTTCAGAATTTAGAGTTTTCATGGAAAAAACAGGAGGGAATGCTGCAAGCAAGATGAATGATGCTACCACGACCCCTCTTTTTACCACCAGTGTGAGAACCACAACTCCTGCAGTTCTCTCTGGCCTGTCTGGTAGCAATGAAAAGTACCACACAGTCAGGATCTGGCAGAGAAAACAGTGTAACACTCACATCTGGTTGCTTTGTGTAAGTTTTAACATAGGCTGGCTGCGAAAGCATGGGTCTTACAGGCACAACATGTCCTGGAAAGCTTCAGGAGGTGGAGCACCATTGGAGAGTGTGAGCATTGGACAGGGCAGGAGCCCCACAAGCTTGGGAAGACCACCCTGTTCACCTCTGTGTGGTGCCCTCCTGATGACAAGGAGTCACTGGTGTTCCTGTAATACAGCTTCTGACCCAGCAAAAGAGTTCATGGCAGCAGCCTAAGGAATGTCTGTCCTGGACAGGTGGCTGCAGGCAGCACAGCTGGAGGCATCTCCCACCACACTTCCCTGCAGCAGCACCAGCTGTTCCTGCCTCCTAGGATCAGCTTCCAAGCCAGAGAAACAAGCATCGATTGCTAGAAGAGAGTGGAAGTAAACAATCAAGAAATAGACAGGAACCTCCTTATTTTTGTGGACATTTTCTCTGAATTTTTGAGTGCTGGGCTCAGCAAGTGTATTTTATTTCTTCCCTGTGGATTTGCTGTGCCTTTATTGGGACCAGGGCTCAGCTTGTTTTTGCCGGGCTGTGGCTGCTCTTGGGGCATCTCTGCTGGCACCAACGCAGCTTGCCTCAACAAGTCAATATATGCAGCAAAGGACATGTAGTTTGCAGCATGTGGCTCATCCTCCTGGGACACCTATTTCCCCATTCAAAGCTACCAATACCATCCAAACCTTCTAAATTTCGGCTTCCCTAGGATATCACCTTCCTGCAAGAGAGTGATTTAAGCATCTACTGACCAGCAGCTATGACAGTGGTAAGATGTGTGGGATCCAAACGTGTGTGGCAATCTTATCTGATGCCAAACCAAGGGAGGGTGCAACTCCATGTGAACCTACACACTCTTTCCATGACCACCTTCTCCCAGCATGAGGCTGAGATGGCACACAGGCATCTCATCCTCCACCTGAATTTTCCTCCTCTGCTTATTTCTACCTCATCACAGCTCTTCTGGAGTCCCTGTTGCCATCAGTCTGCTCCTGCCAAAACACTGTGCCTCCTGACACGTGTTGTGAGCCAAGGGCTGTGTTTGTTTAACAGCTTTACAATGTTGAGAGGCCAACAGCTTAACAGCCATAAAACACTGCTTTGCAGCACAAATTTCCAGCTGTGCGGTCCTTTGCCGGCATCAGGTTCCTTCACGGTTAAATTACGGCTGCCAAAGGCCCTTAATGTCACTGAGAAATATTTTGACACTTGGCAAGTACTTCTTTGTTAAGAAAAAGTGCCCACCATGCTCCTATTGCGATGTGAATCCTCCCTGGGCACTGAGAACCGTGGCTGCTGCTCAGATTTTTCCCACCTCACTTTAATTTTGCAGTGGCACAGTTAAAGTTCACAAAACGGAGCAATTCCAGCTGGATGCTACCTGGAGCTGGCTGTTTTATGGGGAGCTGGGTTGGCAGAGGTGAGGCAGCACTGCTGGGTTCACTGCCTGAGGGCGCTTAGCAAGGATGTTCAGGCAGTGGTTGGGACCCTTCCTGTTCCATCTGCTGGGTGAGGAACCAGAAGAGCCAAACCAAACAAGGCGGCTGCTCTTCAGCAACTGAGATACCACCGTGGTAGGAGACACCATCCCAGTGCTCCAGGAGTGAGGTCAGGTCCCTCATGTCCCCCGTGGCTGTCCTGATGGTGCAATGCAGTCACAGAGCTGGTGGCATCAGGGTAGAGACCTCAGAGAATCTGGGGCCTCCAAGAGCCAAATAATCCAAGTGTTTTGACTCACAGCCCAGAGACGGGATTTATTAACTATGGTTATAGTGAGGGACATTCAGACAGCATCTTCCTCTCTGCTCCCCTGTTCTCTGCAAAGTGAATACAGAGATCCAGCCCACAAGCTGCCTCTGAAAAAAAGGGGTGAGGAAAAAAATAATTTGAATATCAGTAAAGCCAGGTATCCATTCCAGGGGAACTTGCCAAGTGCCACAATTGTGAGAAGGAAGCAAATAGTGACAACATGGAGAAATGGCTCTTGGTGGGGCCTGTAGGAGTGGCCCATCCAGTATTATCTTAGCTTCGAAGTGAGGAGCTTGAAACAGTCAGAGACTGTTAGCTTTGTGTTGAAAAGGATGTTCTTTCAATTAGGATCAACTTCGAGCCACATCTCTCTAATCTGAAACACTATTGTTTTTACTACCACACCCTTACAGCACATATAGGGAGAGGAGAGGAAGAGAAGAGAGAAGAGAGAAGAGAGAAGAGAGAAGAGAGAAGAGAGAAGAGAGAAGAGAGAAGAGAGAAGAGAGAAGAGAGAAGAGAGAACTACCTGTATATTTCCCAGGAAATCTCTCTGCCCTGTTCCTTCTCCCCCTGACAACAACTTCATGCCCACCAGCACTGCACACCAGCAGTGTGAAATAAACATTCCAAAATCTGACCTGACACAAATCACAGCATGTAATCCAAGCTGGCAGGCAGGATGAGTGACCTAGCCATGACATCAGGCAAGTTTCTCACACCAAGATGAAGCTGGGGACTGTGTGATTCAAGTAGGAAACCCCACAGCAGGGCACGCAGGTGCTTGTGTCCCAGATTTGCCCAGAACCAGAGAGGCCCTGGGTGCAGGACAGCTCCTGTCATTGCCCTCTGTGGCCACCAGCTGCCAATGGAGGTGCCATCATATCTATAGAAAGCTAGAAATCTGTCCCAGCCCCACAGTTTTCACT